ATAATGGAGTTGATAAAAATCCAGGTTTAATTTCTTACAAATTTTCGTATATCATGATAAGAATCCAGGTTTAATTTATTACAGTTTTTCGTAAATGTTATCTTCCTTTTACTAAATTCCGATAGTATATTTTATGTTAATTCATCATTGTTTATTTTTAGTAGAAGATTGTTATATTTATGATTATATTGATCTAGATGCAAACGTTTTAGGTGATATTTCAATTGAAGACGAGACATTGGGTGTATTTGATGATAATCAATCTAATGATAATCATCAAAGTTCTAATCATCTGCATGTGATTATTAATGGAAAACAGTATTGGATTCCAAAGGTACCTGATGAAGTCAAGCCAAAACTCAAAGGCCATTACAGGTCCTATGAAGATATAACAGATATGTATTACAAGTATGCTCTTGCAGCAGGTTTTGATGTTAGAAAAACGACAAACAGGAAAAATGGGCATGGTATTATTAGATTGAGATACCTCGTGTGTAACAGACAAGGTGTTCCTAATACAGGTCATGTTGATACATTGAACCCAAACAGAAGTAAGATAAAAAGAAGGACTGATAGTCGAAGGACTGGATGCAATGCTTGTATCAGATTTAGGATGATAGAAGGAAGATCTACATGGTTGCTATATGAGTTTGTAGAGGAACATAATCATGAGCTTATGTCTCAAGATAACATATTGTTTTCCCGACACCACAGACAGCTTAATTCATGGCAGAAATCGTTCATTATCAGTCTTTCTAATCAGAACGTTGGTGCCACCCAAGCTCACAGGCTATTTACTGCTATTAATGGTGGATACAATATTATTGGAGGCACTGTTGATGATTTTAAAAATTTGATGAGGGATCTTAATTGCTTTATAGGTGGAACTGATGCTCAGATGTTAGTCGATAAGATGACTAACAGAACAAAAAATGTTCCTAATTTTTCATTTGATTTCAGAGTTGAAAATAAGCAACTCAACGCTATGTTTTGGGCTGACGAGACCTCAAAGATAAATTATAAAGAATTTGGTGATGTTGTCTCCTTTGATGCCACATTCCGAACCAACAGGTTATGTATTCTTTATGTTTATGTTTTTTGTTTTAATTTTAAGTCTTTTAAAAATTTCAATGTAAATTTTACCACTTTTTAGGTATGACATGGTATTTGTTCCTTTCACTGGAATCGACAATCACAAAAAGTGTGTTACTTTTGGTGATGGATTGCTTAGCAAAGAGGATATCGACTCATACACATGGTTGTTGAAATCTTTTCTTAAAGCCTTTGGTAAACAACCAATATTGGTGTTATCTGATGAAGACCCCGCGATGAAAAACGCAATAGCCAATGTTTTCCCAGAATCAATTCATAGGTTGTGTATGTGGCACATCACTTCCAAATTACCATTGAAGGTTACAATCTTTTATTTAATAGTCTCTCGGTCAACATTTTATTCATTTTGAATCAATGTTATTTTAATTTTACATTCTGAAAATAATCAATGATAGTACTTTTGTATCTCTAACATATAGTATACATTGACTAATGTTCTATAACATTATTGTCGTTTCGTTTTATACATTTTTGACTGATTCAATGATTTTGATTTTTAACACCTTCCACATTTTCTTATTGTAAGGTATCGTTGGATATTGTAAACGACGAGGAATTTAAGTTACTGTTCAACTCCTTGATATGGAATTCTAAGCTGGAAGAGAAAGATTTCGAACAGGGATGACAAGCACTATTGGATGAATATGATCTTAACGATAATACTTGGTTAACTAGAATGTACAACTTGAGACATTCATGGATTCCTGCATTTTTCAAAAGAGTCCCTATGTCAGGTCTCATGAGAACAACATCTCGTTCTGAGAGTCAGAACTCAGCCTTTCATCAAAACACTCATTACGGATCAACTTTAGTAAACTTTATGAATTCGTTTGAATCTGCCATGGAGAAGCAACGTTATACTCAATCCTCTTTGGACTTCAAAACAAAAGACAAACTCCCTCAAATGAGAACACCATTTCCAATAGAGGAAAACGCTTCTCTATTCTACACACGTAAAGTGTTTAGACAGGTTCAGAACGAAATGTACAGGTCAATGACAGCATGTTTTTCGTTAAATCACAACATCGTTGACCATGTTCATGAGTTTCAGATAAAAGAATTTAGGCCCCATGGATATTCCATCTCGAATCGACCTGACTCCGCTATTGTCAGTGATGATGACGATGATAATTGGGATAAGTTGCTAAAAGACTCTATATATACGGTATTATTTTAAACTCTGATATCATCTTATTTTTTTCCACACCAAATTTTGCATATATATCAAAATATTTTTCTATACAGGTTAAATGTGACCAGAAAGAAGACACATTCATTTGTAGTTGTATGAAGTTTGAACAATTTGGGATTCTTTGTCGCCACATTTTTACTGCAATGAAAGCCTTCAACATCCAATTCATACCAGCAAAGTATCTTCTAAGGCGGTGGCAGAAGGATATTATTCCACCTGAATTGTTACGAAGATGTTTCCGGTATTCAGATTCTGATGAGAATATACAAAAAATAGCAATTGACATATTTTCAACGGTTGATAACTGTCTATCTTCTTTGAGCACCAACAAAAAAAGACTGGAAGAGTATTATCAAGCACTTAAGGATTTGGAGAGCAAGTTTATGGATGGCGTTACTATGAATGAACGCCCAAACAAGTCAACAGACTTTGAAAATAGACTTGGTGTGTCGATACCCGCAGATGTTCAAATTCAAAACCCCACTGGAATTAGGAACAAAGGGTCTGGGACTAAAAAAAGGATTAAAGGTGCTCAAGAAATTGCAGTTGAAAAATCACGTTGTAAATACTGTCGTAAGGGTAACGATCATGACAAGCGGAACTGTCCTACACGAAAGGAAGATGAGAAGAACAACATATTTAAACAACATCCTGGCAAGAAGCACTAATTTTATTATCGATCTTTTTTATTTCATATTAGTTTGTTTGGTTTGTTTACTTTATGGTAAAACACTTTTAACATTATCAGTCAATTGTCATTTTTCAGTATTATGTTTTTATAATTTGTGTACCCTATCCATAATTTATTGTTAAATTTTGTTTATTATTTGTCATTGAAATTGTTTTCAAAGCTTATCCACATATTCCTTGTTTTTTTAACCATCCCAATCCTTACAACATTATTACACGTATACAACAACCAATATATTATAAAATTCGTTATCTTATTACTTAATTCACAAAACATTACATTCTTATGTTTTTTTTTTGTATAATTATTCATTTCAGAAATTATAAAACCAAAATTGATTACATGATACTAAGTAGACATATAATTAAGTACTACATACAAATTCAATGACTAATAAACACTATGTTTACGTTATTATTCTGTAATGAATGTTGTATATGTTTATTGTTTAAGTAATTTTAATACGAATATTAACGTTTGATTATTCATAGATTCATTAAAATGTTTTTACTCTACTATACATTTATGCATTTCCATTTTCATAGTAAATTATAAAATTAGGTTTGCCTTGTAAATATTCATATATTCATTGTTGAATACTCAATATAAAGCTGTTGATACAAAAATTCATTCCATAATTATAACATAAAAATAATGTTTTTACATTCTCACACTATTTAATATCTTTTTTTAAACTATCCTCATCTACATTATACATATTTATAAATCTAGTTAACAAAATAACTTTATTTTCATACATAAAAAAATCATCAGATGCACTTACAACAAATATGGATTATGAATTATGTATTTGTTGAATAAAACCGATTAATACATAATTCCAATTAGAATTATGTTATATATTCATTTCAGAATTTATTATAAAAGTCGTTATCTTATTACTTAATTCACAAAACATTACATTCTTATGTTTTTTTTGTATAATTATTCATTTCAGAAATTATAAAACCAAAATTGATTACATGATACTAAGTAGACATATAATTAAGTACTACATACAAATTCAATCACTAATAAAAACTATGTTTACGTTATTATTCTGTAATGAATGTTGTATATGTTTATTGTTTAAGTAATTTTAATACGAATATTAACGTTTGATTATTCATAGATTCATTAAAATGTTTTTACTCTACTATACATTTATGCATTTCCATTTTCATAGTAAATTATAAAATTAGGTTTGCCTTGTAAATATTCATATATTCATTGTTGAATACTCAATATAAAGCTGTTGATACAAAAATTCATTCCAGAATTATAACATAAAAATAATGTTTTTACATTCTCACACTATTTAATATCTTTTTTTAAACTATCCTCATCTACATTATACATATTTATAAATCTAGTTAACAAAATAACTTTATTTTCATACATAAAAAAATCATTAGATGCACTTACAACAAATATGGATTATGAATTATGTATTTGTTGAATAAAACCGATTAATACATAATTCCAATTAGAATTATGTTATATATTCATTTCAGAATTTAATAAGTGAATAGGTGTTATACTATTCTAACACCAACTTTTATAGTCATTCTTTTCACAATTCATACTTCAAATTAAGTCTTATAAACTATGTTACTATAATAGGAATTTGATGGGGAAAAATCGTTAAGTTACTCACAACATGTACTTCATTTTTACATCCATGTATTCATCAAAATACCACCACAAACCCATAGCTTTATAAATTACATTACTCATATTTCTTATCAATGTGTGTCCTTTGTTAAGTGTCATATGCCATATATTACATATGGAATATAAGAAATATTCAGGTTCACAGGTCTAATAATAACCATTAAATAAACCATCACATAGTTTTACTTAGAATACGTCCAACACATAATAATCCTAACAAACTTACCATAATCCAAAAAACCAAAATAACAAAACACTTCGAACTTCATAAACGATCAAGTTTTTATAATACTAATAAACCTAATTAAAAACCACCATCTTCTTCACAGATCATTCTACTGCAGCACACTTTGTGCTTTCCTTCTTCTTTTCTTCAATCACCTTCATCCTTTCAAACCTATCCATTTTTTTAACAGCTGCATAATGCTTCAAGAATGTTTTCTTCATAACATTAAAATCCGACATCATCAACTTATCCAGATACTTATACCTTAACCTCCCCAACATCTTTTCTTGAATTTTATTATCAACACATAGACTGCAATCCCATTTATGTGCCGCTTCTCCCATGTATATTTCCATGTGTCGCATAAGGAAAATTCCACAATCAACACCAACTATATTCCTTTGACACTTCATTTTCATAACCACAACTTCTTTTTTAAGTAACACATTTGCTTTGTTGTGTTCAACACTATTCAGATAACGACAAAAGAAGCTTTTCTGCATGTCAAATTAAATAATAATTCATATTATAATAAATACATAACAACAATACTCACGATCTATATACGAATTCATTAAGTAAACAACAGATCTAACCAGGATACGTGGTCTATTCCCATATGCAGACTCGATTGTCCCAGACCTCTTGATGTGATCAAATATATAAAATGCAACCCTCTTCAAGCAAAAACACACTAGGTAGTAACTTTCATCAACAACAATTGGTATGAAAACCTACATTTAAACAATATCAACATCAGTTCCACATACATGTGTGATACCAATCATGTCTAAAAACTGTAAAAATTAACAATTCCATACCAAGTCCACCGTTTTCAAATCTGGTTTGTCCGTTATGTCATTAATCACAGCTACAAACATAGTTCTGAATTTATTGTACCTTAGCTCCTTATCTACAGCTTCATCAACCATGTAATCTGTCTGTTTTATCATAACAAAATACCGACCATATTACAATTCATAGCGGAATATGACATACAACACACATCTTATTCATAAAAACTTACAATCGTATCGCATGTGAAGTACATCCTAGAGTAAGAACCCTCAGACTTCAGTTCTTCAGTTTTATTAAGGAAAGCAGCCCACGCGTCTATTACATTGGTATGCACTTTTTTTCTCATAGCTAACGTACGTGCAGCTTCCAAACGCATTACATGACCATCAACAGTTTCCCATATAACTTCCCTGCAATTTAAACATAATACAATAAAAATTCCACGACAAAAAAAAATCCATTTTAATTGAGTCACATAAAATGTACATTCTTACCCTTTATCTTTCCCCCAAGCTATTATGCTTTGAGCAACAACATTTTCATCATCTTTAACCGCCTCATCCACATCTGTTATCCGATCTACATATGGTGAACACACCAATTGTCCAAGTTTCCCCTTCCTTTTACCTTTCCCATTTTTCAACTCATCAACATGCGCCATTTTTCTTTCCATAATATCTTTTCCAATTGTTTTTTTCAGTTTGTCTTCCGCTACAGATTTTTTTGTATATCTAATTACTTGCTTGCTTCCTTCTTTACCATCCATACTCTTATCTTCCTCATTCAATTGTGTTATTCTCAAATCGAACGATGGTATGTCATCTTTGCAAAACTCCTTGTTCTTTCTCATGCTCCGTTCCACAATCTCATCAGACATACTCAAAAAACCAGGAGTCAGAACAACTGGACTATCCAATGATGTATTTCCTTTATATTCCAGAAAGAGCACGGAAGGTGAGCCGCACCCATCCACAATCTTTGTCTTCTCATTATTCCTTCCAGTAGATTGAACATTGCATATGGGACTACTTCCTTTCACACCACTACTTCCTTTCACAAAATTACTTTGCCCATGATTGACTGCAACTTTAACGGGCGTTTTCATTGTAACTTCATTTGTGGGAGAGATACTATCTACATGTTCCACATTCTTTTCATTAAAAAGTTTTGCACCTTTCGTAACCACTCTTTTACCACATCATCATTCGCATCCTCTTCTAACCGCTTCTTAATTGCTTCTTCAATTTTTTCCTTATCTTCACAGATCCTACTATATAGCTTTTCAATTGATTCCACATCTTCCTGTCATTGTAATAAAAACGAGTTACAATATCTTCTTATGTATAATATTATTTATTACAGAACATATGACATAAATATTAAAATACCTTACCACCTTATCCTCATCACCATTTACATCAATAGGATCCACTTCCCCATCTACACGAATCTCCAATGTTCCAAATTCTCCATTTCTCAATCCATGCTCCTCCAACATTTCCAAATCCACTGAGTCAATCTGTTTTATCAATGGCCTTGATCTGCGGAGATTATAGCCATTCAAAACTACTTTGTCCGCATACGTAAGCTGTAACATCAGAATTAATAAGTTATCTTATATTATTCTCAATACAGAATAAAAAAAATTAAACAAAAATAAATGCACACACTTACAAATACTTACCAGTAACAGCGTGACTGGACCTGTGTAATAACAGTTTGCGTCATTTGGCCTCCATTTGTATTTTGCCTTCTCCAAACATTCCACTATGTACTTGCACCAATCAATTTTTTGAATATCTTCACACCTTGCTAATTTCTCCAGACAATTAATACGGCTTGCCCCACTCATTTCTGTCTCTGCAAACGTGTTTATGAATAATGTCAAGAAATTAAGCTTGAACATGTCATCCGCCACATCCGATTGTCTAATCCTCTTCACATAGTTTCCATTATTGAACTTTCCTCCTGGATATTGATTTTTCCATGCTTCAATAACTACATCTGTTTTATCGCATTCCACCAACTGGTTGTAGTCTAAACCTTCACTTGGCAAACCAAACATCTTTTCAACCGTTTTCTTTGTAATAAGTATTTCCCCTTTCTTAGTCTTAATCGTGGATGTTTTTGCCCTAAATTTGTCTACCAGGTAGTAAGCCAATCTAGAAGGTATTGAATCTAACTTTATATCAAGGAATGCACCGAAACCCATTCGTCTCACCATTTCTTTCTGGCTGTATGACATTCCCTTCACCGCCATATACATTGATTTTGGGGACATACGACAACTTATTTTTTTGCAACTCCTGTGTTTTGTCGTCCTCAACATCTGCATCTTCATTTTCTACAACCTTCTTTCTTTTCGTTTTTATTTTCTTCATTCCTTTCTTCTTATCATCTTCCTTTGAAACTTCAATTTTTAAGACTTTAGTTTTTTTCCTACCACTTCTTCTTACATTAACATCAACATCAGCTTCACTATCTTCATAATGTTCATCTTTCCTTTTCTTTTTCTTACTTACACTAACACTTGATTCGCCTACAACAAACACAAAATAATATACGCATGATCACTATAATACTACACCAATAAGAATCACGCATAATAATTGCAAATGTTTACTGCCTTGAATACTAATGTATTCTGTATTGACTACTACATCAAACTGACTACTACATAATAATGTATTATGTATTCTGTACTATGTAACGAGGCCTAAAATACATACTGTATTCTGTATTGCCTACTACATCAAACTGAAAATTGATTTTATGAAATTCTACATACTTTCATCAAATACTGTTAGTCATGTCAACATTCAATTCATGCTTAGGGATAACACTACACAAATAAGAATAATGCATATTAGTTTTTTATATGTTTTCAAGTCAGAATATTTACTATAACTAATATATGATGTGTTGAATGATTACCTAATATGTTCTTTATTGAATACTAGTTTTTTATATGTTTTCAAGTCAGAATATTTACTATAACTAATATATGATGTGTTGAATGATTACCTAATATGTTCTTTATTGAATACTAACTCGAATCTTAAACATAACAAAATATTACATACTAACACATAATGTGTTAATCAAATAATGCTACTCATATGAAGATTGAATGCACGATTGTGATAATAAAGAATGCATATTTGTTTTGTATATGTTTTCATTGCAGCCTATTTTTTTTCCAAAACATATAAAAAACATGTACTGAATTATTACATAACGTATTCAACATCTAAATCATTTCATTATTAAATCCATGTACAAGCATTGCACAATGTCGCACATACTGTGCATTCTGTATTGAAGCATTACATAAGTAATTTAATCTGTGTTGAATACTAAAATAAACTATTAAGTAGATAATTAGTTCTCATATTAATAATTCAATAAATAATCGTTATTTTTATTTTTTTTAAAATACTTTTACTTTGAAATACTAGAAAATAACAAAAACCATAACACTAATAATACAACTTCAGTTAAGAATAATTACTATAAGAAATATATGATGTATTGAATTCTTACATAATGTATTCAAAATCCATATGTTTTCATTACTGAATACATGTGGAAACATTGCACACTGTCGCACATACTGTGCATTATGTATTGAAGCATTACACATGTAATGTAATCTTTATTGAATAATAAATTAAACTATTAAGTTCACAATGAATTCTGTTTTGAATAATTTCATACACAATGCTTATTTTTTTTTTTTTTGAGTTCTTTTATTTTGAAATAATAAACAATATAACAAACCATAACACTTATTATTAATCTTCAGTTCAGAATATTTAATCTAAGACATATACGATATATTAAATTCTAAAATAATTTTATGAATATCCAAATGTTTTCACTAGAGAACACATGTGCAAGCATTGCATATTTTTTACACAAACTGTATACTCAATTAAGAACATTTTAGTGCTAATATATACTTTCTATTAAAATATTACAGAATGTGTTCAACATTGAAAACATGTGACTAATCATTTAATATTACTCAGATAAAATACAAAACAACATCACGCAGTCAAAGAAATACAAAGCTAAAACAATATCAATCACAGAAGAAGTACCTTTTTCAAATCTCGTTTTCACCTTCTTTTTTGCTAATGGTTCCCTGCTAAGCATCACCACACTAGAACCTCCTGCAACATATGACAATGAAAAATGGTTTAAAATTAGAATATTTAATATTTAATATATAAAAACCTTGTTAAACTAGTCATCCGTCTAATTAGATTCCATGATTCAAACACAACAACAATCTTAACTGTAATATGATTATAATATCATTATCAATAGGACACAAAACTTCAACCACACAATTATAATACTTTTCATCTTCAACAAAACCCTAAACAAAGTCAGCAACAAAAAATTGGGATACGTGAATCGTATTCTTCAACAAGGAAAACAACTAGAAACATTATCTTTCTACATTTCTAACCATTATACGCATGTTATCTTTGTTTTTAAATACACAAAGCAAACAACCGTCGTATTCATAACAGAAACTAATTTAAAGTTGTATTTGAACATCAATGAGCAAAACCTGAATGAATGTTCACGAAATCGTCGTCATCAAGGTTAATGGCTTCTTCAAAGGTGTTGCTGAACTTGTTGCCCTTCATTTTTGACTCTGATCGAAGAGTCCTCATTCTGTGCTATGTTGAGCAATCAACTCTTTTTATATTCAACTACCGAATCAGCTTCACCAGAATCACATTCAATGTTGAAATCGGCTAATATCTTCAAGAAAAATTGGACGATGCGCACGGATTTGGAAGACGGATTCACCGGCGAAACTTACGAACAAAGACGCCTTTTCCTAAATTAGTTAACCTAGATTTTTACCCAAATGCCCTCAAATCCTCGTGATCAGATAATTCATTGTATTTTCCATTTTTTTTGTCTTTTATTAAATAGGAAAATACCTAATTATCCTATCCATCTATTTAGTTAATCTAATGGTTGTAAAATGTCCTCATGTTCTCACAATAATTGGTGTTTTCACAATAACTATCCCCTATATATATATATAATATATATATATATATATATATATATATATATATAGATATATATATATATATATATATATATATATATATATATATATATATATTTCAACCAAACACTCCATTCATTTCCCACTTTTCTCACCGAATACGCACCCATCTTTGCTATCAACTTTCATCTAAAAACACTCTCAATCTTCATAGATTTTGCCCAGAATCTTCAAATCATCAACCAATTCCTCAAGAACATTCAAACCCATCTTCAATTCTTCATATGTTCATCATATCCTCATAATTTCCCCAACACACTGAAAACCCTATTACCCCACCGAAAACACCTTTCAACAATTTCAAATAATTTCCGATTAATTTGTAAGTCTTCCTTATATAAATTAAATTATTAATTAGCCAATTATTTAAATTAATATCTTATTAATTTAAATACGACGTCGGCTGTCATTATTTTTAGGATAAAGTTATTCACGCGAACGCTTACTCGGGGATCGTCTCTACAACTCGCTAATTCAAGTTAACACACATTGAGGTAAGTTCATACCCTCATATTTTCCAAGCTTTTTCAATGTTTTAGGGGGGGGGTGGGGGGGATACAAGTAAAACACAAGTAACCTTGTGTTTAAAAATATAATTTTGTTTATTATATATTTTTCCATCCGTTAACATGCATTTGAATGTAAAACTTACTAAATACGCCAAACACCATTACGGTTAAACTACAAAATATTTTAAGTCGCAACGATTTTTACGTCAAAGGAAACAAATGAATTATTTTACAAACTTTTATAAACTATAATAATTATAGTTTATGGAACAAAGGGAACTATTTTACAGGCCCATATCATAACACCGAAAACAAAACTTATAAACTATATTAGGTATAGTTTATGGAACATATAAACAATTATTCATTTCAAAGGATTTTCAATTATTCTACACTTAACCATCGATATAGCTTTGTGAGATAACGTCTTTAAGTACTTATTTAAGTGCCAACAAAAGTCCTGACCTTAATAACCAAAGTCTCCTGGAGGGAGAGCCTGAGTTTGTGTATAGATCTATACGGGACTGACAATCCCGCACCTCAAATGTTAGCTACAGTTAGGCCGACAGGCCTGGGGTGACAAATGTCATTAATGATTCTGACGCCTGAAGAACGTCGTGTCAGGCCATCACTCGTATTAGTATGGTTATGAGGACTCACAATTTGGTATCGGTAGTACGATTAGTGTATGAATGTATAAACAAACTTCGCTTAGTTTTATTTAATTATAAAACTAAAACAAATGACTTTACAAACCAGTAGGATCAAAAAGGCTTTTATTGTTAATTCTAGGATTCCTTGGTTTATACGTCAGAGTCATATATAGATAATGTCCGATAGACAGTGGGATGGTGCTTTCCGCCTTACTTCCTGTTCCTTGTTTGGTTGTGGGCTTAGGGTAGAATCACTCAATCAACTGTCCGTTCGACCTTAATTATATATAATTCGTATGCACCAAGAAATCATAGAGGAACAGATATGGGTCATACCAACACGTACCAGTATAGCACACCAATTTCTAGAATAGAATTTACAACTCTTGGGGAAAACATATATCCACACAGTTTTATAAAGTAACAAAATAACAAGTATACAAACTTAACGCACGTCAATATGCAAACACTTTGGTCTTAGGGATTACGACTACTTCGCAAATAAATTAAGTATGGTAATTATACTTGAACCTTTCAGTCTTAGAACGTTTAACATTTCAACTCGGTTTCTATGGAAAATATAGGATTTTCCAGGATCAACGTCATTCTTTTACAAGTAAACAGTTTGCAATCTAACTTTCTGAAAACACAAGGCGATTACTTATCGAAAACAATGATTTACAGTAAGAGCAGGTGCAACTAGGAGCATACTTACAAAAGATACAACATTCATTTACAAGTCATTTTACTTATCATTCATCATATCAGAAAATATAGGATTTTCTGGAAGAAAACATTAACATTTTCAATGAACAAAGAACATACTTTTTCAAAAACAAGATGTTTATGAACCCACCAACTTTAATGTTGACACTTTTTCAAACCAATTGTATTCCCAGGATATCTAGTAGACACGTACCCTCTCGAGCGTTATGAAGATGGAACATAATAGCTTTACGTCTTATCTTCTGGTTATAATTTTGATGTTAATCATGCAATGATTTGAACAAAAAGTAAAAGTAGATATTATTAATACAATGGTTGTTGTTGCTTTGATTACTATTATACAATTATTGTGATATTGTACATGACGTCCTCCGCCCCCGAACATTTCCGCCGTTCCGGTTTGGGGGTGTGACAGATTGGTATCGAAGCATTGTTTATAGTGAAATTAGTATATCAACCCATAAAAAGATATACAACTATAAATACAATGGGGCCGAAGTGCTCTGACTAAAAGTATACTTTCAAAATGTAAGTATTCTTATATAAAAGTATACATACATGCATACATATATATAGGGGTGAGCAAAAACCGAACCGATAAAAGAAAAACTGCAAAAACCGCAACCGAAAAACCGAAACCGATGCAAAAACCGATGGTGCGGATTTTATTTTTTTGAAAAACCGAATTTATTGGTGCGGTGCGGTTTTTATCTAGAAACCGGACCACCAAAACCGAACCGCACCGCAAGCTTATTAACATTAAAATAAATCACTAAAATTTATATTATACAATTATACATAATATTTAAAAAACAAATAAATTCTAATTTATACATATATTATATATTGAACTTGACGCTAATTAGTAATTAAGTATTAGGTTTAATATGTGATTTTGTTACTTTGTGTTTATGACTTAATGATTATGTGTAAAGTGTAAACGCTATGTGGGCTACAACTTGCAAGCTTATAACTTCTAAGCACAAATTGAATAAAAAAATGAGCTTGAAAATATGGGTTGCAAATGAAGTGATCAAGTAAACAACATAAGAAATTTAAAATTACAGCTTCTAAATGTGAGGAAAACAAAATGAAAGCATTTCATATAATCATAAATCTTCACATGAACACCACGGTTAAAAAAATCATACCAATGAACATAAAAAATCGCACCATATGTTTGACTCGGTTTAAAACCGAAACCGCACTCAAAAACCGCAAAACCGAACCATTGAAAAACCGCACCTAATGGTTTTTAGAATTCAAAAACCGCACCTTGCGGTTCGGTTATGCCCTAAAACCGCACCAAACCGCACCATACTCACCCCTATATATATATATATATATATATATATATATATATATATATATATATATATATATATATATATATATATATTTGAGATACGACCAATATGTGTTTGGGAGTGATGGTGGTGTTGCAACAATCCTAAAACTTACCTAACTCTATATACAAAGGATCTCTAGAACAAATCATAAAGTTAAAGTACTATAGGAGTATTTTAGGGACAATAAACAACATATGTGAAAATTAAAAGACCCTTAATGGTAGGTCTATGATTGCGAAGTGTATACTCCCAGGGTTGTGTATAATTGAGATTTTATAGACTTAGAATTTGTGACCTATGCTCAACTTCCTGTTCATTGTTTGGTTGTGGTCTTAGAGTAGGGTCACTTATTCGAAGGTCTATTCAATCTTAAGTTATATACAACCTGTATACACTGCGTGATTATAGGAGGACCCGATAAGGATCACCACTACAAGAAAATTTCAATTTAACTACAAAAAAATTCAGTAGCAAAAAGCTGAAATTCCGTAGCTAAAGCTAAATAACTACGGAATTTGCTACGAAAATTTTCAATTAGACTTCGTTGCTTTTTTCCTTGTAGCAAAATGTTTAGCTACGCAATTATAATTCCGTAGCAGTTTTGCTATGACAGTTTTTACGACATCTATTTCGTTGCAAATTGAGTTCCGTAGCATTTTCATAGCAAATTCCATAACAAGTTTTCCATAGCAAATTTTGTAGCAATTTTTCCGTAACCAATTTCGTAGCAATGTTTCCGTTGCAAATTTTCATAGCAATTTTTCCATAACCAATTTCGTAGCAATGTTTACGTAGCAAATTCCATAGTAATTTTTTTCGTAGCAAATTCCGTAGTAATTTTTCCGTAGTCATTTCCATAGCAATTTTTCCATAGCCAAATTCCGTAACAATTTCTCCGTAGCAAATTCCATAGCAACTTTTTCATAGCAAATTTTGTAGCAATTTTTCCATAGTAATTTTTCCGTAGCAACTTTTCTATAGTCAATTCCATGACAATTCTTTCATACCATTTTTCCACAAAATTCGGTTATTCAATTTGACTATTTATATCAATTTACAAAAATACAATTAATATAAGACCAAAAGTAACAAAGTATTTCTATAGAAACTAAAAGAAATATCCAATACATCAAAAGATACATATTTCAAAATCAAAAGTCGCTACAAATTAAACATAAAACATTATTTGATGCATAATATTTTATCATTGAATAATAAAAGTTTTGACTATGTGTTAATGACATTCATTGCTTGTGCAAGTTGTTCAAACTTTGCTTGAATATCCACATTTTTCTGTTGAAACTCCACATTCTTTTGTTGAGCATCCACATATTTTTGTAGATTGTTATTTTT